ACCCGAACTCCTCCCACATCCCATCTCACGCTGATGATCGCTGCAGAAGCTCCTCCGTACCTTAGCGGGTTAAAATCAACCCCTTCCCCTCCTGCGTCACGGCCGGGCGCGTCCGTCCCGGCGCGGGATACCACCCGGCGCCCGGCGCGTCACTGCTCGGACTCGTGCTGGTGAGACCACTGCACTCTCGCTCTCGCTCTGGATCCAAAGACGACAACATGCAGAGCGCGAGCAGAATGCGGCAGCGCAAGGGCATTGGGCTTGAGTACACCCACTATTCGCCAAGCAAGAGCGTTGGAGTGAGCCATGAGGGCAAGCCGGCGGCGGTTGGAAAGGGCGAGGCCAGCGGGTGGTGGCCGAGAGTGAGCAAGATGCGGCTGGCGACAGACGGCTTGCTCGCGGTTGTCTTTACTGTTGTTCTCGCGGCGCTTCTTGTGGCGCGATCGTCGACTTTGTTGCCCTCGCCGCTGCCTATGTTCAACTTTCCGGCGGCGCCGACCCATGATGCGCTGGATGGGGTGTCGGATCGGTCCGGGACGGCTGGTGCAAGCGCTCCTCGTCGCCGGCGTCGGTTCCGTGGTCGCAAGCAAGGTTTTCTGAGGGCAACGCGAGAGTGCATCTGCATGCAATGGCGCTGCTGGGGCCCAAGCTGCTGGGATCGGACGCAGCCGAGGTCCACACTCAGGCGTACATCCTATCGGCACTCACCAACATGGCGTCGTCGCCGAGGCTCTCACCGCGGATCAAGATGGAGGTCGAGGTCCAGGTTGCGTCAGGTTCGTTCTTCCTCGACTTTATCTCGGGCTTTGCCTCGGTCTACCACAACGTGAGCAACGTGCTGGTGCGGCTCTCGCTGGCAGACGGTGAGAACGACGCGCCGGGCTTTCTCCTCTCGACGCACTACGACTCGGCGCTGCACTCACCGGCGGCTTCGGACGCCCTCGCTGGCGTCTCGATCCTGCTTGAGACTGTCCGGGTCATTTCCGAGTACCCCGACGAGGTGGCGGAGTCGGGGATTCTCTCGGCGCCGCTGGTGGTCAATCTCAACGGGGCGGAAGAGTCGTTGCTGCAGGGTGCGCATGCGTTTATCACCCAGCACCGCTGGGGTTCCAACCTCCGCGGCTTTCTCAACATCGAGGCAGCCGGCTCGGGCGGACGTGAGATTGTGTTTCAGACTGGGCCGAGGGCCGGATGGCTCGCACTCTCATACCTCCACGGCGCGCCGCATCCGTACGCCAACTCGATGGCGCAGGACATCTTCCAGTCGGGCATCATCCCGTCGGACACCGACTTTCGCATCTACCGCGACTACGGCGAGCTGCCGGGCATCGACATGGCGTTTGTGGCAAACGGTTATGTCTACCACACGCCACTTGACCAGGAGGTGTTTGTCACTCAGGGCTCGCTCCAGCATGCCGGCGACAACGTGCTCGGCACGCTGCTTGCACTCGGCGCCGAGTTTCCGTCGCCCGCAGAGCAGGCGCCGTGGGACGCCGAGTCGCTGGTCTTCTTCGACGTCCTCGGCCTCATGACGGTGGCCTACACGCTTCGCTCGGCCGAGCTGCTGCACTCTGCACTCGCGGCTCTCTGGCTCGCCCTCATTGCTGCCAAGCTTGGCGCGCCGTCTACCGGCAAGCTGCGGCACATTGCGCGCGACGTGATGGCACTTGCAGGGATGATGCTCGGCACAATGCTTGCGCCAGCGGTAGTGGGAAGCGTGCTTGCCCTCGGCGCACCGTTGTTTGGGCACACCATGGCGTGGTTTGCCTCGCAGTGGCTCCTGGTGGTGCTGTTTGTGCCAGCGGCGCTGGCGGCCAACGTGGTGCTAGCCGCGGCGCTGTTTGGCTCTGAACGGCGGTACGCGGTGGCAGGACGGGCATCTGGACTCGACATTATGCGCGGGGTGTGGGTTGTGCTCCTCCTCGGCCTTACCTTTGGCCACAAGGGCTCGTCGTTCTTTCCTGCGCTGTGGGTGGCCGGGCTCGTGGCGCCGGCGGTGGCGTTGGCGATTCCGGCGGTGGCGCGAGTGTGCGAGCGGTCGCCGCTCGGATACCTCGCGCTCCACCTTGCGGCGCTTGTGCCGGCGCTTGTGGTGGCGCTGGTGCAGATCCTGGGTCTCTTTGAGTTCTTTGTCCCGCTCATGGCGCGGATCGGGACCGCGGCGCCGTCAGACGTGGTGATGGGTGTGGCGGTCGGTGCGCCGGTGGCGGTCATCGGTTCGGTCTTCACCTTGCTTGTACTCGAGGCGCGCGGCATGGAGGCTGCGCCGGTTGGGCGGGCGTACCCCGAGGCGCGAAAGCGGGCGACGGTGTCTGCAGCGGCTGTGGTGTGCGTGTTGGTGTGCGTTACGCTTGTGGGTGTTCTCCTTGTCCCACGCATCTCACCGTATACCGAGCTTCGGCCGAAGCGAGTCTTTGCACAGCACGTGCTGGGCGACGATGCCGACGGGCCTGGCTCGGCGCTCTGGCTCAATGTCATGGACTACAACTCGATCGGATGGCTTCTCGGGACAAGTGCCGGCCTTGCCGAGTACGCGGCCAAAGCCGAGACGCTTGTTTGTCCGGCGGGCCGTGTCTATTGTGCGCCATGGTACCTCCCAATTGCGGACATGGTGACGGGTGGGCAGGTTGTGCCGGTCGACTCGAGCAACGTGCCGCTGCTTGTGAACCCGGAGCTTGTCCGCATCACCAGCAGCGCAGTTGAGGGTGGAGTGGCGTACGTTTTCCGGTTTCCGGCGGCGACGACGCACGCGACGCTCACGGTTGAGCTTCCGGCCGAGCGCGAGATTGTCGAGTGGTCGATTGCCGACCCGCTGCCTGCGCGGCCTGCAAACGGCGCGTACTTTATCTATCTGACGGATGCCGTCGGCGGCAGCGCCCGCCCGGAGAGGGACGAGAGCCAGCACGTGTTCGAGGTCCGGATGGTGATTGCTGGGGCGGGCGGACGGCTTGCGGTCGGAGTCGCCTTCCACTCACAGGCGCTCACGCCGCAGCTCCATGCGTTTGAGGCCAGTCTCCCGCCGTGGGTCGTGCCTGTCTCGTGGGTCTCGCAGCACGTGCGGAGGAGCGTTCAGTAATGAACGCCGATAAGTGGGCGCATGGCGGGGGGGGGGGGGGGGGGGGGGGGGGAGGGGGCTAGCTCGTCGATGCCCCGCTTGCAGCCTGAGGCTCAGTAGACTCGGCCTGGACTTGGATGGGGGCGACATCGCCCTTGAGAATGCTTTGCGTCGGGCGGGTAGCCGTGGCCTCAGGTGAGGACGAAGACATCTGGTTGAGGTAGTTCCTCAGGTTAGGATCGCGGGCCTTGAGCCGCTCCAGTCTCGCCTCCTCCTCGGCCCACTCCTCCTCTTCAACTCGAGCCCTCTCTGAGGGGGTCAGTCGCTTGGGCCCGTAGTTGTCCATCTGTCGGCCAGTTGATAGTTGATCCGTCCGGCCGTAGACCCCGATTCCCCGATTCCCCGATCCGGCAATGTTCGCGACGACTGGATGTGAGTATGGGTGGTGGTGGTGGTGGTGGTGTGTGTGTGTGTGTGTGTGTGTGTGTGTGTGTGTGTGTGTGTGTGTGTGTGTGTGTGTGAGGGGGAGGAGGCCTCTGCCGCGTACATAGTACTCAACGCCAAGGAGGGCAATACAGGCGACGGTGCCGCCAATGAACATGCGGGACTTGTAAAAGGGCTTGTCGAGGTCCATGCCTCCGAAGAAGCCCATAAACGACATGCTGGCGTGAGTGTCGTTTGGCGTGGAGTGTTGGCGTGGGAGTGGGAGCGCAAGTGGGAGTGAGAGCGGCGAGTGAGCGGTGGCCGAGTGCCGTCTGTTGCATTGGACGGCGGGCGCGCGTTGGACGGGTGGTTGGCGACGCAAAAACGCGCATCAGCGTTCTGGGTGCATGGACGTCAAAGTTGTCAAAGTCTGGCGTCTGACATTGGTGAGAGAGGTATGATGAATGGGTTTAAGGACTACACTTGCGTGGCGCCACCAGAGAGCTGCTGCTGGTTCTTCTTGTGGGCGAGCTTGGCCTTGCGTGCAGCGAGCGAGTTGCCGCCGCCACCGACACCGCCCCTGGAGTTCTGGCGGCGCATGGAGGATGAGTTCTGGCGACGCATGGCGGAAGAGTTCTGGCGGCGCATGGCAGACGAGTTCTGGCGGCCGAGGGCAACCGAGCCCTGGCGGGCCATCTGGGCACGAGCAAGGGCAGCCGAGAGAAGCGGGGCCGGCTGGGTAGAGGAGCGAGCGGCGCCCTGGCCTTGCGGGAGGACCATGGAGCCAAACGCGCGCGAGGCGCCCATGCCACCTGGGGCAAGCGACATCTCGAGGTTTGAGACCGAGGCACCGGGCATCATGCGCGGGCCGCGGGTAGACATGGCGCGCGAGAGCGTCGAGCTGCCGCGGCTTCCCGAGTCGTCGGCGTTGCCGGCCGAGAGCATCTTGGAGGCAAAGTCGCCGTCGTCGGCGGTCTTGCTCGCCGGCTTGGTCCTCTGCTGGCGAAGAACGTCTGCGACGGAGGCGTCAAAGTTCAGGGCAGGCTTGCGGCGAATGGGCGGCGGGCGGTCAAAGTCGTCCTCGCACGAGCGGTCATCGCCCGAGTCGAACCAGTCACCGTCAAAGTTGTCGCCGCGGTTTGCTTCGGCGAGAGCCTCGTCGCCGCCGTAGCCAAAGGCCTGGGTGGCCTTGAGGCCGCGGAGCTGACGGTCCTTGAACATGTCTGCGCGCTCCTCGAGCGAGTCGATGATGAGCTGGAAGAGCGAATACACGTGCTCTTCGTCTTCAAGGTTGGAAGAGTTCGAGTCGTCCGAGTCGTCGTCAACCTCGTCGGACGAGCCCGATTGGGAGCCGGTCTTGGGCGGAGCGATCTTGTAGTTTCCGACGTGCTCGGCGCGCGAGCCGGCACGCATGGCGGTGGCAGCCACGGTGGCGTCCATGAGGACCTGGCCGCCGGCACCGGCGGCGCCGAGGATGAGGCCGGCCTCGTAGTCCTTGCCCGAGTAGGTCATGCGGACGGTCTCGGGATCAAACTCGCGGGTCGGGATGCACTCAAAGAGGCCCATGGAGATACGCAGGCCGCGGAAGAGGACGCCCTTGGGCGGGTACTTTTTGTCTTCGAGGAGGGCGGCGGACCACTGGACCTCGAGGAGCGAGCTCTGGATGAGCGAGGCGGCGCGAACGGCCGAGGTGGGCGACTCAAAGATGACGACAAGCGAGCCATCGGTCTTGTCCTGGCGAGCAAGGTAGCCACCAGCGGCGACGATGGCGTCGGCGTAGACATCGGCGACGTCGTCGAGAGCCTTGGGCATGTCTTCTGGGTAGTTCTCCATCCAGTAGGCGAGGTCCTCGACGGTTGCGGCGAGGACGGTGACACGGCCAGACGGGGCGAGGTCCGACTCGACCATTTGCTTGTGCTCGATGGTGTTCTCGTAGTCGCGCTTGCGCTTGCGCATGAGCAGCACGACGAGCACAGCAATGATGCAGCAGACACCGACGGTGGCAGCAATGCCGATACCGGCTGCGGCTGCAGTGTTGGGCGATGCCTTGATGGCGGCGGGCGGGCAGGTGCCGTCACCGCCGCAGATGCCGCAGACGTCGACGGCGAGGCCCGAGTTGGGCACGCCGTCGCATCCTGCACACGTGGAGTTGTCACCGCCGCACACACCGCAGCCGTCGAGGACAATGTCGCCGGGGCAGGGAGCCGGCGGCGGCGGCGGCGAGGGCGGCAGGCATGGGCCGGGCAGGCCCATCGGGGCGTTGTAGCCCGGGGCGCAGGCCGTGCACTGTGTGGAGGAGCCATCGCACGAGGCGCACGACGGGTCACAGGCGGCACAAGGGGCGTCGGACGAGGCAACGTAGGCCGGGAACGGAAGCTCGGAGCAGCGAGTGCACTTGACCTTGCGATCGTCCTCAAAGGCGAAGCCCGGCATGCACTGCTGGCAGACGGTGCCGAGCGCGCATTGGCCTCCAAAGTTGGGTGCGGCGCAGTTTGTGCGGATGTCGCACGAGGGGCCCTCCCATCCGGGCCAGCACTCAGAGCAAGGCTCGGTACCGAGGTTGGGCTTGGCGCAGACGGAGGCGCCGTGCGAGCAAGTATCACGGACGCGGCATCCGTTGGCGAGGCCGGTTGTCCGGGCGCGTGCGGTGCACCACACGTTGAGCGAGCACGACGGCGACTTGTTGGCGCAGACGACCGAGCTGGCGGTGTAGACGTCAGCGTCCTCGACGTGAAGCGCGCCCGACTGGGCGCGCCAGCCCTCGTTATCCGAGATGGCGACGTCGATGAGGCGAACCTGGGCGAGCTCCGAGCCGAGGACGTAGAAGCCACCGCCTGCGGCGGCCGAGTTGGAGGTGATGTCGACCGAAGTAAAGTTGGCATCATCGCGGACCTGCTGGATCCACACACCGCCGCCTTCCTCGCCGGCAGCGCCGTTGGAGATGGTGGTGTGGGAGACGGCAATCTCGCCGGTGGCGTAGAGTCCGCCGCCAGAGACGCGGGCCGAGTTGCTTGTCATGGTCACCTGGTTGAGCTTGATGGGCGAGTTCGAGTAGATCGCGCCGCCGCGGTCGGCGTAGTTTGAGGTAAGGCTCGATGACCAGAGCGAGAGGGTGCCGAGGGTCGAGTGGATGCCGCCACCCTCGGAGGTGTGGTTGGTGGCCGAGTTGGCGGTGATGGTGCAAGCCTCGAGCCACGAGTCGGAGACGGCGACAAAGGCACCGCCCTTAAACTTGGCGACGTTGTTGCTCATGGTGACATCGCGGAGAGTGGCCTCGCCGTAGGAGAAGAGGGCGCCACCGTCGTCCGACGCGGTGTTGGCATCAAAGGTCGAGTGGGTCACGAAGAGCGGGAACTCAGAGGTGGTTTGGATGGCACCACCCTCGACGCCGCGGTTGCCGGAAAAGGTAGAGCGAGTGACGTTGAGCCAGGCCGAGGTTGTGATGGCACCGCCGACTTCGAGGCCGGTGTTGTCGCGGAACGTCGAGTCGACAACGCTGAGGTCGGCCCGGAGCGGAGCAGGGATGGAGGCGAAGAGAGCCCCGGCCGAGTGGCCCGAGTTGCGCTCCATGACCACACGGTTGAGGTTGAGGAAGCAGGCGTGGGTAAAGACGGCACCGGAAAAGGGCGAGGCCTGGGCGGTGTTGTCGGTGATGGTGACATCGGCGGCGTTGATGGTGCACTGGTTGGTGTCGCCCGAGTAGCCGTAGATGAGGAGGAAGCCCGGCCCGCCGTTGCCGACGCAGCCGGTGGCGGTGGTGTCGGTGACGGAGAGGGCGATGCCCGACGAGGCGGTTTCGGACGAGATACGGACCACGCCCGAGGAGCCGACGGCCGAGCAGTCCTCAAACTCAGAGTTGGCGATGGTGATGGAGGAGGAGAGACCCTGGATGTCGGCCGAAATAAATGGAGAGGTGTTACCGGCCGTCACCTGGCCTTCCTTCATGTAGATGTTGGAAAGACAAAGGAGGAGCCGGTGACCGTGGTCTCGATGTCAAAGAGCGAGGAGAGAACACCAGCCTTGAAGCCGAGAATGGAAAAGTTCTCAAAGGTAATGGTCACGCCGTCGACTGCGGGCCGCAGCTCAAAAAGCGAGGCCGTGATGGAGGGATCGATTTGGCAATCAAAGACGGTCGACGTCTTACCCGCACCACGGATGGTGATGTCGTACGAGGCGTCGACAAGGAGCGGAGCCTGTCCAAAGAAGGCGCACGAGTGGAAAGTGCCGGGCTGGAGGCAGATGACATAGTCACGCCCAGCAGCGACTGCGTTGGCGAGAGCTGGCCGCAGCGACGGATCAATGCCGCCAGCCGCAACTGTAATGTCGCAGCTGAGCGCTGGAAGGGCCAGCGAGGCAAGGAGAACAATTCCAGCGATGATCGGCAGCATGGTGTGCGTACGCATGGTAGAGGATAGCCGGCGAGTCGATGCGCTGGTAGGGAGGGGGTGTTTGTCTGTCGTTGGCGAAGCGGGACAATGTCCGTGCTGGCAGAGCGGAAGACAGGTAGCTGAACCACTGATTTGTTCGTTGCAGAGAACAACAATCGTTTTTGTTCGCTCCGATTTATTCCGTGAGCCGCTGTCCCGGCAAACGCACCACTGGGCCGCACAAACGCTTGGCGACGGCAAGGGTGCCAGAAGCGGTTCTGTGGGGACTTGAGAGTTGTTGCCGTTCCGACTATAGTTGATGACATGGTGTAACGAGGTAGAGTGTGTTGCATGGGCGAGTTTGCGTGGCGGGTGGGCAGGCACTGGAATTGGCTTGCGCCAGGAGCTCACCCTCCAAGCCTCTGCCGGGACAGAGCGGGACAGCCCGAAGGCCCGGGTGTGGCAACAGCGGGCGAAGGCGCACCCGCCACCCTTGGCGTCGATACCAGCAGTACTTTCGGGCAGTGGTCGTGATACGGCGCGCGTGCAGAGTGTGCCGTGAGTAGCGCGACGATGAGGCGGAGGAGGGACAGTGATGGTGATGGTGATGGTAATGGGGATGGGGACGGTGATGGGGATGGGAATGAGCGCGAATGGGGGTAACTGTGCTCTCTGAGATGAGCAAAGGCAAGGGCAAGGGCAAGGGCAAGGACAAGGCCAAGGGCAAGGGCAAGGGCAAGGGCAAGGGAAAGGGGAAGGAGGTGGCCAGTGACTTGGTGGAGGCGGGCGGTGGGATGGATGGATGGGTTGGGGCGCCACAGCTGGGCAAGGGGAAGGGGAAGGGCAAGGGCAAGGGCAAGGCCAAGGCCAAGGGCAAGGGCAAGGGCAAGGACAAGGACAAGAGCAAGGGCAAGGACAAGAGCAAGGGCAAGGACAAGAGCAAGAGCAAGAGCAAGAGCAAGAGCAAGAGCAAGGCCAAGGAGTCAGAGACGGGAAACGGATCTGGGTTGGCCACAGTGCGGGTGCTGAAGCGGAAGCGGCGGACGGGCAGCGATGAGCCCGGAAGCGCGCACAAGCGGGCAAAGAGGCATATAGTGGACGGGTCCGACTCCGAGTCGTCGTCAGGCGCGCTGGGCGCCGAGGCGGGGCGGAGACTGGGTGGAGGCAGCGCGGCAAGTAGCGGCGGCGTGTCGTGCAACTGGAAGCAGCTGCAGGCGTCGCTTGGGCTCAAGGGCGGGCGGAGCGGCAAGCGATCGGGCAAGAGCGATGGAGGCGGTAGCCCAAAGAAGGCCACCGGGTTTGACCGGTGGGTATCGCAGGTGATGTCGCGGGTGGTGGCTATCGACTGCGAGATGGTCGGGGTGGGCACCCGCGACGAGTCGCGGCTGGCGCAAGTTGCCGTCTGTGATGCCGAGGGCAAGATGCTTTTCTGCGAGTGCGTGAAGCCAGCCGAGACGGTGACCAACTACCGGACGTTTGTGTCGGGCATCACGCCGGCAATGCTACGCGGGGCACGGAGCGTGCAGCAGATTCGCGAGGAGGTCCGTGAGCTCATTTCCAACAAGGTTGTGATCGGCCACGCGCTGGACAACGACTTTCGGGTCCTCGGCATCCACCCGAAGCCGCACCTTGTCCGCGACACGTCGACGTACCCGGCCTTCCGCTCGCGAGTCAACAAGGCGCGGCGGCTGCAGGATCTGGTCCGCGAGCGGCTGGGCATCACCATCCAGGGCGCGGCGCACTCGCCGCTTGAGGACGCGCGCGCCGCTCTCCAGCTCTACGTCCTACACGCCTCCGAGTGGGAGCGCGGCTTTGTCGGCAAGCTCAAGAGCGATCGCAAGTTTATGGCGGCGCTGGAGGGCTAGCTTGTGGGTAGCGCTGCATTACATGTACTTGGCCATGGAGCGGTTGACAGTCGAGGTAAAGCCGGGCGGGAGGTCGGCGACGATAGCGTCGCGGCCCGGCGGGACAAAGGTGGAGACGTGGGTGACGGCATTGTGGAAGAGATCGGTGCCCGAGACCTCTGTGCGCCACCAGAGGCGGCGGAACGACGAGTCGATCTCGACGTCAGCGCCCTTGGGCGGCTTGAAGGCGACGGTTCCGGTCGCCAGCTGGCGGAAGAACGGAAGGTGGTGGACGTCGTTGTAGGCCTGGAGCCAGAGCTTCTTGGAGATCTTGCCAGGCTTGGGCTCCGGCGTGGCCGGAGGTGCAGGCTTGGCCGGGCTCGGCGGCTCGACGGAGGGCTCCTTGGCCTTGGCCTTGTCCTTGGCCTTGGACGCCTTCTTGGCCTCCTTGGCGGCCTTTTTGGCGGCCTTCTCGGCAGCCTTGCGCTCCTTCTTGGTCAGCGACTTGTTGGTCTCAGGCGTGGCCGGGGCTGACACTGGCGCCGACGCGGACGGCTCGTCGTCCGAGCCCGCGCCCGAAGCCTCGCCGTCCGACTCGGCCTCGGCCATGGACTCAAACTCGGCGCGGAGAGCGTCGACCTCGGTGGCGTCGAGCCGCGACGAATCGCGACGCTCACGTGTCATTTGCGGCGCCATCAGCAGCGCAGCCATGTTTGGCGCAGGCGCTTCGTCCGCGTCTTCGTCGACAGGCCGGATGACCGCCACCGGCTCGCTCTCGTCGCCGCCGTCCGAGTCCGAGTCCGAGCTCGAGTCGGAGGAGCTGTCGGAGGAGCTGTCGGACGAGGCCGAGCCGGAGCCGGAGCCGGAGCCGGAGCCGGAGCCGGAGCCAGAGCCAGCGGCGGGCACGACAGCGTCTGCGTCTGCGTCACCGCCGTTGTCTACGTCGTCGTTGCCGTTGTCGGGAGTAGCGTCGTCGTCGTTGGCGGCATCAGCATTCTCGCTGCCGTTGTCGTCAGCAAGTCCAGCGGCAGCGTCAATGCAGCGTCGTTCTCGTTGTCGTTGTCGTTGTCGTTGCCGTCGCCGCCGTCGCTAGTAGGCTTGGTCGCACCCGGCTTGGCTTGCGGACGGCTTGCAACGGGCGGCCTGGGCTTGGTTGCAGGAGGCTTGGGCTTGGGCTTGGGCTTTCCGCCACCAGGCTTGGGCCTTGTGCCAGGAGGAGCAGCAGGCCTGGGCTTGGTTGCAGGAGGAGGCGGCTTGGGCTTTGGCTTGCCGCCGCCAGGCTTGGGCTTCTCGCCCAACTGAGGCGCTCCGCTAGCAGGTGTCGCTTCGTCAGAATCCGCCATTCGATAAATGCGTGAGGTGGCGAACGGGGTTATTGAAGAGCGACAGTCGCCGAGCGGCGACTGGCTGGCACGCTTGGTGTGTACCGGTCAAGGGCGGCGGTGAGGTGCAGGGACGATTTGGCTACGTTGGGAGAGTTCGAGAGGAGGAGAGATCCATGCGCTACACTGCGCGGTGCAGTGTAGGTACAAGACGGAGCCTGCGCCGCAAGGGATGTAAGGGAAGGGCCGGGGAAATGGTAGCCGGATGGGCGAGTGTCAACGAGCGGCAAAAAAAAAGTCGGCTGCAGCAATTCGCCGCGAAGCTCAGCAAGAGTCTGGAACGTTCGAGGATTGTTGGCCATTCGAGGCACGCGCGAAAGAAGGGGGGAATTATTGGTGAGTGGCGAAAAAGGGCGGCGCCGTTGCCATTGCGCAAGGAAGCGATACGGCGGCAAGAAGGAGCTTTTGAAGTCGGGAACCAGGCGGGAGGGGAAGAGTATCGTTGTAGAGAGGGCATGTGTGATGAGAGGGAACAGGCGAGCCCGTTCAGGCGCAGTCGTGGCTGGTGGGCTGTCTCACCACGGGGGTTTGGAGAACGAGGGTGGCGACAACGATTTTTGTTGGCGCAAGAATTACCGCCAACGTCACCATTTGTCTGCGGCGGCTCGGCGAGCAGGAGCGCGGTAGGCAAGAAGAGCGAGAAGCAGTTTGAGCACATAGTGCAGTGTGGTAGCAAGCAACAGACGTGGGAAGGGTTCTTGGCTGGTCTTTACTCTAGGCATGGCAGAAGAAGCACCCGAGGTCGTTGTCCTCGACGACTCGGTTTTTGACGTCCGTTCGTACTCGTCATCCTACGACAGCGGTGTCGACGACAACAGCGAGGGGAGCGGCGGGAGCGGCGGCGAGGGCGGGAGCAAGGGCGCTGGGATCGATGATGGACTGAGCCCACAGGAGCGGGCAGTGCAGCTTCGGTGGGGAGCCGTGCGAACTGCGGTGGAGGACGAGGACCATGTGTCGACGGTGGCGTGGTCAGCAGTCGCCGAGCTGCTCACCTGTTCGATCTGTCTCCGGCTCTTCCACTCGTGCACAGTGGCCAAGGACTGCATGCATCGATTCTGCGATACATGCATCCGCAAGTCGCTGCGGCTGGCCAACCGCGAGTGCCCGACATGCCGCAACCCGTGTCCATCGAAGCGGTCGACGCGGGCCGACGAGCGGGTGGACGCGCTGCTGAAGACGGTTGTGGGCGATGTGGACGAGTTTGAGTCTGGCATGCAGCCCAAGATCGAAAAGGTGGTCTCGGGCAACCTGGCAGCCTTTCAGGAGTCGGTCCGCAAGGGTCTCGAGCGGCAGGCCGAGACCAAGTCGACCCGTGTCTCGCAGGCCCGCATTCTCCAGGCGCTCGCTGAAGAGCGCGGAGAGCTCGAGGAGCCGCTGCACGGGCCGGGCTCGCGGTCTGGGCGTGGGCGCGGGCGTGGACGTGGGCGCGGGCGCGGGCGCGGGCGCGGGCGCGGGCGCGGCGGGCGCGGGCGTGGACGCGGGCGCGAGCAGGCGCGGCGGACGAGCGCGTCTCGGGCCGAGGACGAGCCACCGCGCAAGGGTCCCAAGCCCGAGCTTGTGTATGTAGCCGCGTCGCGGTGGGGCATCGGAGACGAGTACTGCCACGTCCCGTCGAGAACGGCAAGCCGGCTCGCCGAGGGCGGCGTCTTTATCCTCCCGCCGGGCGAGCCGGTCATCCACAAGCACTACCACAACAAGCAGAAAGAGCGGCGGCGGCGCAAGAAGTCCAAATACCTCCGCAAAGTGGTGTCGCTGCCGCGGCGGCGCGGCCGGCCGCGTAAGGTCCTCCCGTCGCCGCCGGCATCGTCGTACACTGACTCGGACTCGCCGTCGCCCGACTACTCAGAGTGGTCACCGGCTCCGGCGCGCTCGCAGTTTGGCATCACCGACATGTCGGGCTCGCGGCTTGCCAAGCGGACCAAGCGGACCAAGCGGCGGTCGCAGACCGGCAAGCGGGTCCGCATCGAGTTCAAGTCGGACTACACTTACACGTATTCGTACACCTTTGCCTACTCACCATCAGAGTTCCCCACAGGTGTGACGCTCGATACCAAGCACGACGAGGTCTGCCTCGACCTCTGGTCCGACACCGAGGCCATCATTGCGTCGTCTTCGTACACCTCGGGCGCAACAGCGGCGCTTGAGGCCTCGCGCGACAAGCTCATCCAGACGCTGGCGCGGACTCCGTTTGGTCGCGGAGCCGCCTTTTCGCCCTCGCCCGACCCGCCGGAGCTGCACTCGGCGTCCAAGTCGAGCAAGCCCAAGCCGAAGCGGGTCGACTCGGTCCTCGACGCAAGCACACCGCTTGCGGTCCTCCCGCTCTCGCGCCAGCCGGTCGACGCCCTCCCGATCATCGAGTTCTCGGTCGTTCTCCTCGCCCTCCAGCCGTCGCACATCGACGCCTGGATGCTCATCCAAGAGGCTGTCGACATCGCTGTGCCCAACGGGTATTCTTCGCTCTCGGCCCTTCCCCAGATCGCACATCCGGTCGTGGCCACTGACTCGGAGGCCACCGCCGGCGAGTACGCCGAGTTTGTTGCTCAGATGCTCGACCCATCCGGTCTCGAGCTCGGCCTCGACGCCAGCCGCGTCGCCATGTACATGGTGGTCTCGGCCAACACGGTCATCCCGCTCAACTCGGACACGCCGGTCTACCGTCTTGCCGCCACCTATCAGGCCGTCTGGCCAGTCTCACTCTTTTACTGCCAGGTGCAGTAGGAACGGGTGCTACCGCTCACGTAAACCGATCAAGGAGCGCCTGCAACGTGTGCGGCGAGCGAGAGCGAGCGAGAACGCCGTCGAGGAAAGTCGCGTGTCTGACGGCGGCGTCGGCAAACATGGCGCGCGCGTCGGCAGAGCCGAGAACCGTCGGGCGGACCTGATACGTGCGCAGCGCCGCGAGATCGTCGGGAGAGTTCTTCCAGGGCGCGGCGCCGGCAGCAATGTCGGCGGCCTGAGCCTCGAGGGCGGCGGCCATTTTGGCCGGGCCGCCGCTGTCGGCAAGATCGCTGAGCGCGAGACGAGCAATGGTTTCCGCCACTGCATCGGGGCTTTGCTCCGCGAGCGGGAGCCAGAGAAAGTCGTCGCGGGCAAACCAGCGGTTCTGCTTCCGCGTCAGCTGGCGCGACTTGGCCTGAAAGTCCTTGACAAAACTCCCCAGCGCCTTGGCGAGGATCTTGGGCGCGACACCGGCATTGGCATCGGCAACCAGATTGGCGAGGAACGGCAGGCTCTGCGCGTAGCCGATGGCCGCCGCCACGTGGTGGCCCGGCTCCAGCGGCGGCCCGGCGTACGGCACGTCCAGCGCCCACTCGGAACCGACCCGGTTGCCGACCACAAGGTCGAGCACTTCGGGGAGTAGTCCGGCGGCGACCATGTCTTCGCATCGGGCATCCACAAGCCGCAGGTGGTCGAGGCGCGGCCAGTGTAGATTAAAGACACAGACCGAGGCGTCGAGCCGCTCCGCCAGCGGCGTCCGCGGCGGCTCGGGGATGGCGGCAGCGCCCGATGCCACAATCTCCAGCGCGCGGCGCATCTTGACCCAGTCGCCGCGGACTAGCCTCTCGGCTCGGAGAGGCGACGCTGCGGCAACCTTGCCGAGCCAGTGCTCCCACTGAGGGCGAGCAGCGACCTCGGCCTCGATCCGGGCCCGGACAGCCGGGTCCGCCAGCGGAGAGCCCTGCGGCCCGTCGATGAACCAGTCCATGTACAAGCCCGAGCCACCGACAACAACTGGCACGAGGCCAGCATCCAGGAGACGGCGACACGCCTCTGTCGCCTCGGCAGCAAGGTGACCAGCCGAGACGCCCTCATCCAGCCCGCGACAGGCGACGAGCGCCGTCGGCGCCTCCTCTAGCTGCTCCGGCGACGGACTTGCCGCGCCAATGTGAGGGCCACGGAAGACCTGGACAGCATCAAGCGAGACCAGCCGCGGGAGCTCGACTGGGAGCGGCGACGACAGCTGCGGGAGTCTGCGAGCCAGAGCAGTAGCCACCGCTGTCTTGCATGAGCCGGTGGCACCTGTGAGTACGATAATCCTCCGCATGGGGCTGGAGGTGAGTCCTGACGGGGCGTGGTGTGGTGTGATCCGCGTGGTGGGGGAGAGCAATGGCTAATGTCGTTGATTGGGCTTTGGTGGTTGGCCGGCTCTGCCGTCGGTTAATCATTGGGTTTTGTCGTTGGTTAATCGTTGGTGGTTGAGGAGGAGGGGGGGGGGGGGGGGGGGGTGAAGGGGCGTCAAGACTTGTCACTCAACTCAACAGCAGCACCAGAGGAGGGATGCTGCGGCGGGTGCGCGAGGTGCAGATGCGGACGTGTCGTATGGGCGTCAATCCTGTGGTGTGTGCTCAGCTGGTGGGGGTGGTGGCGGCGACGGCGGTGACTTGCTTCCTCCTCGGGGTGCTGATGGTGGGGCCGGAAGCTGGCAAGTGGAGGGAGCTGGCACCAACGTCGCGGGATGGCTCGGGCCCACACGTGCGGTATGGCGCGGACATGCTGTTTGACAACAAGACGGCGTCGCTGTGGATCACCCACGGCTACGCGTATGAGGCTGCCGTCTCTAACCCGTACTACATCTCCAACACGTGGCGGTACTCGATCGAGGGTGGCGCGTGGGTCCGGGTCCAGCCGTCACCCGAGCTGATCGAGGAACGGCGGCGCAAAGGTGGAGCGAGCGCGAGCGCGAGCGCAGCCAGCGGCGGGAGCGGAGCGGGGGCGGGAGTTGGACCGCCGTCGCCGTCGCCGGCGCAGGTCGCAGCGCTCAAGGCGTCGTCGGCTGATGGGGTGCCCGAGGCGCGAATGGCAGCGACGCTGACCCACATTCCGGGCGAGGACGTTTGGCTGTTCTTTGGCGGTGACGACGGTGGGGCGCGGGCATCGATCCGGGCGTACGACGCGCGTGCGCTGTTCTCGGACGTGTGGATGTTTGTCATCTCGGACGACGGGAGCCAATTTGCATGGGAGCATCTGGAGGGCGAGCCCGGGCCCAAGCTCCGGCACCACGCGGCGGCCGGCGTCGATGGTGCAATGTACGTCTTTGGCGGCCTCGCGTTTGACGAGGCGCAGGTCCAGGCTGGCGCTGCGGCCGGCCTCAACGGCAACGCTGTGCCACAAGCTGATTTGTGGCGATACGAGGTGGCAAGCCGCAAGTGGACGCTGCTCGAGTGCGCGGCGGCGACGGCGCCGGCGGCGCGCTTCGGCCACTCGCTTGTCGCCGGCCGCGACGGGAGCCTGGTTCTGTTTGGCGGCAAGGCCGGCGGCGGCGGCGGGCTCTCGGACGACGTCCACATCTTTGACATCCAGAGTTGCAGCTGGCGGGTTGTGGCCGCGCCGGCGGAGCCGCGGCCGGCGGCCCGCTACTACCACCAAGCCGCGGTGTTGGGATCGGCCATGATGGTGTTTGGTGGGGCCGACTGCGAGCCGGGCACGTGCACGTGCATGGGCGACCTTTGGGCGTTTGACCTCGTGGGCGAATCGTGGTCGCTGGTCGAGGCCGGCTCGCGCGACAATCCCGAGGCATCCGCCAAGCAGTGGAAGCGGGCTCGGGCCCGCGAGCCGGAGCGCTACCCGATTGCGCGATACCAGCACTCGATGGTGGCGTCGGATAACGCGCTCTATGTCTTTGGCGGCGAGTCGTTCCGGCCGTACGCGTACTACGCCGACGTGTGGCAGTTTGCGTTCCGTATCGTCTCCCGCGAGTCGCCGTCGCTCGTTCAGCACCCTATCCTCGCCTTTACCTGCCTCTTGGCCGTCCTCGGCTATCTTGTCCATCTCCTCGCGGTGGGTGTCTCGCGGCAGCCAGCCGACCACTTGCAATGATGGCATAAAGGCCCCGCTGCGATAGCTGATGGCATGGCAGACGACTTTACTTGCGCGCGCGGTACCGGTACCGCTCGGCAGCCAGGGTGGGCGGCATGGGCAGGTTGAGAGAGCGGATGCCGCGGCGCTTGCGGGTGCGCATCTCCTTGAGGTGCTCGTCCTGCTCGAGCTCTGACGCCGACTTTTGCTTGACCTGCTCGTGGACGGCAAACGAGGAGGTGATGTTGCCGACGCGCTTGGAGCCTGTGCGGCGGCGCTTGCGGTGGCGGCGGATGGCGGCCTCGGGATCGCCCGACGACGACGACGCCGAGGATGAGTCGTCCGAATCTGTGGCAGCGGCACGCGCAGAGCGCGACTTGAGGCGCGAGGCAAAGGAGATGTCGCCGGTCGACTTGGGCGCCTTGCCCGAGAACTCGTGTGCCGAGACGCCCAGCGCGTCCGAGGCAGCCTTGAGCTTGGGCCCTTGCCCGCCGTCGGCGGACGGCGCAGCCTTGGCGGCCTTGGCGGCGCGCTTGCGCTTGGCCGACGCTGCACGAAGGGCCTTGGCCCGCGCGCGCTCGGCAGCCTCAATGGCGGCCTCCTCGCCAGCAGAGAGGTCTGCCGACGACGAGCCCTCAAAGTCTGCAAGCGTGGTGTTGCGGAACGACTCGAGGAAGTTGTCGTCGTTTTCCGAGTCGGAGTCGTCGTGGATGTCGAGAGGCTTGGCCGTCACCGCAGCCATGGGATGCAGCCTGCGGTAGTGGTCCGAGTCGGTGTCGATGGAGAAGCGCGGGTCGGAGAAGAGCGGCTTGAAGCGCGGGTCGTCAAGCGGGGTCTCCTGGTCGACGCCCACCAGGCCGCGCTCGGCCTTGCGCTTGGCCAGTGCCTTGTCGGAGAGCGTGGCGCGGATCTGGCGGGCGTATGCCTTGTTGACCTTGACAGCATCTTTGCTCGACTGGTAGGCCAGGCGCGACGAGCGGCCGGCGTCGATCTTCCGCTGGATCTCGCCCTCGCGCCAGGTCTTGTACTCGAACGGATTGACAGCAGACTTGACCTTTTTGTACAGGCGGGTATCCATGAAAAAGCCGTGCATGTACGGCTTGAGAAACGGGGTGCCGATGAGGTGGCTCAGCGCAAGGTCCTTGAGCTCCTTCTCGGTCACAAAGTGGTAGTCGTCGTAGATGGCACCCGTGTCGGCGCCTCCCTCCTCAAGCTCGTCGGTGAGCGAGTCGAGGAACGAGGCCCACTCGGGCGCCGGGGCGAGGCCCGGCATGTAGTAAACCTGTACCTTGGGCGCCTCGGCGGTGCACATGATGAGGCCCGAGTCGTGGTTGAGCACAATCGACGAGTTGATGGGTGCGTCCGGCTCAATCGACGCCATCAGCTCGCCGTCGTGGTAGTCCCAGACCCGGATGGTGCGGGCGTCCGACGAGACAATGTTGGACGTGTTCTCTGCGCCGTGCCAGGCAATGGAGTTGATCGGCGCGTCGTAGTGGTGGTCCTTGATGAGCCAAGGCTTGGCCGATCGCAGGTCGTACAGCAGCACTTGGCCTGACGTCGTGCCAACCGCCACCGACAGGCCGTCCTCCTTAAAGGTCACCGACGAGACGCCCGGCATCGACGAGAGCCCCAACTCGGACGCGACGTACGCACCGACCTGGACGAGCCCGGCCTTGTCCTGCGACCGGGTGTCGAACATCTCCAGCGCACCCTCTTCGCCGCCAGTAGCAATCAGCTGATGGCGCGAGGCGAAGCGGACGACGTTGATGCCGCGCGAGTCGGTTGTCGCCAGCGGCTTCATGAACCGCCCCAGATCTAGATTGAGCCGAAAGACGTCCGGGCCCGAGGCACCGGTGTACAGATCGCAGTTGAGCTCATTGTACGCCAGCGAGCGACCGGCCTTGGGAATGCGGGTCTTGTAGTACCGGCCGCCCTGCGTGTGGAACTCGAGCGAGCGGTCGACCTCCAGGAGGACGTACTTGTGCCACGCATCGGAGAGGTGCAGGATGTCGACAATCTCGGCATCGACATGGCGCTCAAACTTCATCGAGAGCATGGCCAGCTCGTAGACGTGAAACTGCGGCGGATAGACGCCCGTGACAGCCAGAAACTTGCCATCGGGCGACTGCTTGAGCGCGTTGGACGCCGACGGAAAGTCGAGGTCCTGAATGAGCTCGATGCGGTTGCGGAACTCGGTGTCCCGCTTGAGGCTCCTGCCCTTGGCCTCACTCAGCCACTCGGGCAGCGACTTGCCTGCAGACACATTGTACACCTTGGTCTCATTGTGCGTAGCCACCCGGTGCATGGCCTCTGTTACTCAGCCACGCGAGTCGAGTGCGAGCTGTGGTTGTGGAGATGGATGGATGGCGCACTGGTCAAGGACTGATCAGGGGCTGGGTCAGGGCCGATAAGGGGGGGGGGGGGGGCATCGGGGATGGGATTTGATGATCGGGCGATATGGCAAGGTGGGCAGGGCGCAGCGGAAGGTCCTGGCTGGCTTGGCATGGTAGACTTGGCGTGACGATTAGGCGTGGCGGTCGGGGGGGGGGGGGGGGAGGCTTTGTCTTGGCGTGCCATGACGACGCGACAATCGAGTTGTTGATCGGGCAATTGGTCGATTTGGCAGACCGACTCACTGGTCAACTTGGCCACACTCAACGCAAGACGGTAGAGAATGCTGCGACTGACTGGCGGATTGGGCAGAGTGCTGGGTATGGCGCATGGTCGGTGGGCAAGCAGCCAGGTGGATGCTCTGGTGAGTGCGGTGAAGGAGGCGCCGCAGCCGGCAATCGCATGGATGACGGCGGCGCGGAGCGCAAAGGAGGCCGAGGACAAGCAGTACGCCGGCGAGCTGGCGACGGCGATGGAGGAGCTGGGCCCGGAGATTGTGACTGCGACGTGGACGAACGAGTCGCCCGAGCACGAGATGGTGGCCGGTATGGTGTTTGGCTACGTGGCCGAGTCGTGGCGCCCGCTCCCTCCGCAGCAGACGCTCGACCAGGTCATCGCGCTGATGGAGGGCGACGTCGGTGTCTCGCTCCTTGGCGTTGACTACCTGCTCAACGCGCTGGCACAAGCCGGGGCCAACGAGGTGCTAGGCATGATGCTGCCGCTGCTCAAGGAGCGGTACCAGGCGCTGGGCATCGCGGCCGAGGCCGAGTCGGACGAGAGCAAGGTGGCCGCTGCCGCCATGGGCGTCCTGGACCACGTCGAGAGTCGGGCCATTGCCCCGATCGCGGGGTGGCCGCTTGGAGTTGACCTCTCGGAAGAGGCAGGCGCCGCGCTGCTCGCTGCGCAGGAGCCCGGATCCTACGCGCCGTCGGTGGTGACCTCGATCCGCGCGAGGACGATCGACGGGCACAAGGAGCACGGCGAGGTGACGCAGTTTATGATGCGGCGCGGCATGGACCGGATTGCGGGCGCGCTCGGTGCGTGGTACGCCACGCTCGACTCGGCATACGCACGCGCGCTCGTCGAGTCGGCCTCCAGCTGGGCGCCGTTTGCACACTACACCATCGACGTCGTCCGCGACTGGAGCTTCCTTCCGCAGGACCTCGCTGATAACCCGGACTCGCTCGCCACGATCCGCTACCTCAACGGTCGGCTGGCTATGCTGCAGCTCATCGAGGAGGCTAAGCGAAGCCCGGCCATGACCAAGACGCTGCAGTCGATGGTCGGCTCGGGCGCGTCGACCGCCGCCGAGGAAAAGGTGCTTGGCCTCGTGCTGACCGAGACCGAAATCCCGCTGTAGCCGCCGCCAGTCTCGGACCATACATACGCCTCCACAGCCTTTAGCCCTCGCACTACTGCACCCACTCCTGCACCCAGCTTCGGGCTTCCTCCATCTTGAGGACTTGCCACTCGGACGGCTCGGACGTGTTGCCGCACATTGGGCAGGCGCCGCCATTGGCGACAAGGCCCTTGGCGACAATCGACTTGTGGGCACCAAAGGCGCAGTGCGGACAGAGACACAAGCCTTCACGGACGATGTGGGTCCCGGTCATGACGCAGAACGGGAGCGCCGACCGGCACGACGGACAGTCGAGATCTGAGTTGGCGAGCGGCGCGTCGCAAACTCCGCACGGCGAGGTCTCCTCGGGCGGCTCGGACTTGTCTGGCCGCCTCACGATGGCCTCGATGCGCTTGCGGTACTTGTCGTTGAGCTTGGTGCGGTACTCGGGCCGCATGAGCATGGTGGCGTACTCGAACGCGCTCCGCTTGAGGCCTGACTTGTAGCACTCGAGGACGGTTGAGGTGAGGATGGGGACGACGTGGGCCGGGAACTTGGAGATGCTCGCGGCGACGCGGACGAGCATCCGGGCGCCGAGGACCCGCGACGAGTCGATCTTGGCCAGTGACTTGACGAGCAAGTACGAGTGGACAAGCATGAGAGCGCGGGCGAGTGGGTGCGGGACAGAAATGTCCTTGGAGCGCAGCAGCGTGGCGGCGTCGTGGAGAATGAGGTGCGCCTCGCGGTAGTTACCGAGTTCCTGCTCGTTGGCGGCAATGCGGACGGCAACATCGGCGACCTTGTCAAAGTTGCCCAGCGCCGAGTACAGCCAGTAGATGTACTTGGGGTCTTTCGGCTCGCCGCCCGACGCTCCGGAGAGGTCGTCGATGACGAGATGAATGAGAACGTCGTCGCGGAGCTTGCCGACATAGTTGATGACCTCCAGCAGCGCCTCCTCGGTGTTGGCAGCGAGGTACGAGCGAACGGCGGCGCGGGCATCGTCGGCGCGGGCAAAGAACTGGCCGGCGCGGAATGAGTCACCGACGGCGGTGTAAAACTTGGCGACGGCCGCATACTCGTCACGGGTGCCCGAGTTGCCGATGAGCGACGCGTACGTGTCCATCTGGCCCTCGCGGTCGGCGAGGTTGTACGCCTCCTCGCGGCAGTCGGCGAGGAGGAGGAACTCGATGGCGGACGCGTAGTCGCCGACCTTGCGACAGTGCTCGGCCACAAGCATGGCACCCTCGGCCGACTTGGTCGAGCGGACGAGGGCCAGGACCTTGGATGGGTTGTCGAGCTTGTCGAGGTTGACCCGGATGACGCCGACCCAGTCGCGGGCGGCCTCGTACGCGGCCTCGGCCTTCTTGAACTTGCCGAGCGCCTCCATGGCCTTGCCGTACTTGAGGTGGAGCTGTGGGTTCTTGACATGCTCCATGAGCTTGCCAGCAGCGTCGAACGACTTGGTGACTAGGTACATGGCGACGGCCTTGTCGTACACCTTGCCGGCCTCGTACGCCACCGCCGCATCCGAGTACTGCTTCATCGACTCGAGAATGGCGCCGGCGTCGCGGCAGAGCGCCGGCGAGTTGGAGCCGAGCACAAGCTGGAGGCCACGCGAAAGGTCGCCGAGCCGCAGCGTGCACCGGGCCATGCCGGCCTCGCAGGCTGAAGTGTGTGCGCCTGGCTCGGTGCCGGACGGCGGCGGGCCAGGCGCGGCGCGGGTAAACATGTTGAGCGCAGCCTCGTACTCGCCGTTGAACTCGAGCTGCTGCGCGTATTCTTTGCAGATGCCCGGCAGCGCGTTGGGCGCGAGCGTGGTGGCGAGCTGGAGCGCAGCATCCCAGTGAAGCAGGTCGCGCCGCATGTCGAGAGCAACCTTGGGCTTGGTCGAGGCGAGAAAGAGCGTTTGCGCGCGGTCATAGTCACCAAAAACATGGCGACGTAGCCGGCGAGCAGCGAGCGGTCCTCCAGATCGGCCAGGCCCTCGAGCGACAGCACCATGCCGGCGTCGCCGATCTGGCGGTAGGCCTGGGTAGCGAGCTCGACATCGAGCTGAGCGAGCGCCACCGAGCCGAGCTCGTTCCACACCTCGACGTTGTCGAGCGCAACCGCAGCGCGCCAGGCCGCCGACAGCCGGCCGAGCGCAAGGTTCTGCTCAAAGGCCTCGAGCGGAGCGGCGTCGGCGCCGAGCGCGTTGTGCGAGGCGAGGACAACGTGCGCAGGCGTGCCGGACGCCGAGAGCGTGACGAGCGAGCCGGAGCGGAGGAGCATTGGAACGTGGCCACGCGGCAAGTGGGTGACAGCCACCTTTTCGACCGTCGCGCCCTGAACGGTGAGTGGAAAGTAAGCATAGGTTATGGCGATGTCAGCATCGTACGCCACAAAGACGCCCCAGTCCTGAACGGCGTCAAGGTCATCAAGGACATTCTGGTCCCACAGCACACCGCTGAGCACTCGCGGGAGGTGCGGGACTGGAACAAGCGCATCGTTGACCGGGTTGTACACATGGCCTGCACCCGAGTCGTCGCGGACAAATATGCGCGTCCCGTTAGCGTTGGGGTAGAGCGCGGTGACGCCCGCCGGCAGCGCGTACTGGGCTACCGACGCCGGCACGCCATCGGCGCCGAGCAAGGCGACGTGGATGCCGCCGTCGGCAGTGCCGTAGGCAAGGAACTGCTCAGAGAGCGCCACACACGTGACATTGGCATCGCCACGCTCCGGAATGGAGAGAACCGGCGCGTTCGGCGAGAGTAGCGAGTGGATGGAGATGCGCCGGCCAGCAAGGACTGCGGCGTGCGATGCGTTGAGCACCACCCGCTCGATGGTGGTCACGTAGTCGCGCTCCATGACCAAAGCCGGCGGCGAGGCCGCCCAGTCGTAGTAGCGCAGCGTGTTGTTCGAGCCAGCGGCAAGGTGGCGTGGGCCGAGGGCAAGGAGCGCCGGCTCGTGGTCTACAGCGAGGCGCGGGCCCGGCAGAAAGAGCGCGTCCGGCGGGAGGTCGGAAGCACGGGCGACGGGCGTGGGCAGGCCAGACTCTTTGTGCGTCTGGATGAGCGCGATTTCGCGGAGCGAAGCTAGCGAGGCCAGCAGCGTCCCATGGGCGGCGCCGATGACCGGGACCTGCGTCAAGTGGGTGATGACGTCGCCACGGTTGGTGGCAACGGTGAGGAGCTGGCCGTTGGGCGCCCACGACAGCGAGCGGAGACAGCCTGTGAGCTCTGGCAGCGAGATGGTATGCGTGACCGACCATGAGGCGAGAGAAATGACAACGATGGCGTCGTCGCCGGCGGTGGCCACCTCGCGAGTCGCCTCGCAGTACGCCACGTCGACAAGCGACGACGAGTGAAGCTGTTCGGAGAAGACCTCCGAGTCGCGCTCGTTGGCATGAGTGGAGACAACCACAAAGTGGCCGCGCTCAAAACCGACACCGAGGTAGCCGTCGGCGAGCCAGGCGTAGGCGGCGATGGGGCCGTATGCCGACGAAAAGGTGAGCTCTGTCGGTGTTCCGACGGCGCCGGCATGGAGCTCGACGTCCTGCAGGACAACGACGGCGTCCGAGATGACGAGCGAGAGTGTCGGCTGGGTGGAGAGGGCTGTGGCAGCTGATGCCGAGGCCGACCCGGTACCGGCCTTGCGGGCGCCAAAGGCAAGGAGGCGCGGCGGCGACTTGAACATCATCGAGTCGACCGTGTCGCCGCGCGGCGACGAGATGGTGACCTGGCGGTCCTCGGCAGCGAGAGCAAGGACACCGTCAGTCGACCACGCGCCGTGGGTGATGGTCTTGGTGTGCTTGCCGACAATAGGGACGAGGCGGCCCTTGATGCGGTCGACAAGCAGCAGGTTGCCCTTGACGGTGCCGACGGCAAGGAGAGCACCCGCAGCGGCCCAAGTCATGAACGATAGGCCCTTCATCTTGGTCTCCAGCTCCGAAGTGGAGCGGGTGTTCGAGTTCCAGAACTTGATAGCTCGCGAGCCGTCGGAAATGACCGCTAGCGTCTCCGAGTCGGCGTCAAAGGCCATGGCCACCACCGCGCCCGAGACGTGGAAGGCGCCGAGGCGCGAGCCGTGCCGGTCGGTCACGTACACCGACGAGTTGGGGCCTGCCGAGGCCACCATAGCTGCATTGCGAGACCACACAGCGTGAACAGCACCTACACCATGGTCGGCTGCCGTGAGGGACCACACGCGCTGCATGGTGGTGGTGGTGTGTGTGTGTGTGTGTGTGTGTGTGTGTGTGTGTGATGGTTGGGTGTGGGGTGGAGACAAGGTTCGGCGGGAAAGCGGAAAAGGCCAAGCAGGTCGGGCGGGAAAGGCGTAAGGGGGG